TCACAGCGCGCGGTGCGCGGGGCCGGCCTGGCGCCGTGTGCGGAGCTACCGGCAGCTGCCGGGGGAGGAGCCAGGGCAGGGCAGGCCAAACGCAGGGCGGGCCGGGGAGCCTGCAGACCGGTGCCACGGATCCTCCGGGTGAGCTCCGGCCGCTCAGGCGTGTCAGCCGCACCGCTCAGCTTCGTGTCGTCTGCAGACCTGCTGAGGTCGCGCCCGGTCCCGCTGTCTGTGTCACTGGTGAGGTTATTAAACAGTACTGGTCTCAGTATGGACCCCTGAAGGACACTGCTCGTCACTGATCTCCGTGTGGACGTGGAGCTGCTGACCCTTTGGATGCAGCCATTCAGCCAGTTCTGCATCCACTGAACAGTCCGCCCATCAAATCCATGTCTCTCCAATTTAGAGAGAAGGGTGTTGTAGGGGACCATGTCAAAGGTCTTACAGAAGTCCTGACAGATTACATCCATAGCTCTTCCTTTATCCACTGATGCAGTCACTCCATGATAGGAGGCCACTAGGTTGGCCAGGCAGGACTTGCCCTTGGTGAAAGCAGCCTGACTGTCTCTAGTCTCCTCTGTCCTCCATGTGCCTTAGATCTGTTCCATGATCTTCCCAGGTACAGAAGTGAGGCTGACAGGTTGTTTTTCTCAGGGTTGTCCTTTCTACCCTTCTTAAAAACGGGTACAGTATTTCCTGTTTTCCAGTCACCAGGGATTTCACCTGGCTGCCATGATTTCTCAAAATACCATGGAGAGTAGCTTGGCAACTACATCAGCAAGTTCCCTCAGGACTCTGGGATGCAGCTTATGAGGCCCCATAGACTTAAATATACTCAGGTTCCTCAGGTGGTTATGAACTTTATCTTCTCTTACAGCAGGAGGGATAGATGCCTTGTACTATTTATACACAGCTAAACTAATGCTACAAATGCAGCCAGTGATAAATTGTATTTAATACCATTATACCAAGGTAATTTTAAACTTGTTTTCTGTGTTTGTTCATTAAGTAGCATCTACTCCTGGGATCTGTGGCGTAGCAACACTCCAGAAGTACAGGCAAGGCTTCCCTGTGCAGTATCAAATTTTAAGTGATGCATCCTAAAGCAAAACACGCCTGATGACACTAATCTCCTGCCTTAATGGAGACCAGTGGTTCTGTGCTGGGTGGGGTGAGTGTCAGGGGGACGGAGTTAGGCTTTTCTCAGTGATGACCAGTGATAGGACAAGGGGTAATGGGTGTAAATTAGAGCATAGGAGGTTCAAGGTGAATATCCGAAAAAAAATTTTTACTGTGAGAGTGACAGAGCCCTGGAACAGGCTGCCCAGAGAGGTTGTGGAGTCTCCTTCGCTGGAGACATTCAAAACCCACCTGGATGAGTTCCTGTGTGATGTACTACTCTAGGTGACCCTGCTCTGGCAGGGGGGTTGGACTAGATAATCTCTCGAGGTCCCTTCCAGCCCCTAAGATTCTATGATTCTCTGATTCTCTGTAGAGCTCTTTGCTGATGTAGACCCTGCAACAGAGCCACTGAGATTGGTGTGAGTGAATTAGGAACAACATAAAAACAGTAAAGCAAGGGTTAAAAGAATGACCAAGAGCACACCTGAGAGCAGTAAAACTGATAAACACTGAGGACCTTGGTGAGTAAACCCAGAGCAGAAGACCTGTGCTCTGATAAGGTGCTATCACAGATGATTTGTCAGAAGACCTGTGCTCTGAGAGCAGGATGATGGCAGCAAGGTCAGCCACGCCTTTCCCTGCTGTCACAGCAGGAAGGCAGAATGTAGCCGTGGAGATATCCAAAATAATGAAACATCAGGGAGTAACACTAAGATTAATGGAGGCTGAACTAATAAAAAGTTGGAGGAAAGCAACAGATCACATTATTCTAACTCCTGATCATAAGAGACCAGCCCAGAAGAAGTTTGTTCTTACTGATCCAGAGGACACCAAGGGACAGTAAGAGCTCAAAAGCAATAGTGAGTTACCTACGAGATAGGGAACGTGCTCCTGCACACCAGCCATCCTGGCTGCCTCACTTGGGACACACTGTTGGAGCGTGCAAGCCTGAGAAAGTATGAGTGAAGTATGAGAAACTAATTATAGAATCATAGAATCTTAGGGGCTGGAAGGGACCTCGAGAGATCATCTAGTCCAACCCCCCTGCCAGAGCAGGGTCACCTAGAGTACATCACACAGGAACTCATCCAGGTGGGTTTTGAATGTCTCCAGTGAGGGAGACTCCACAACCTCCCTGGGCAGTCTGTTCCAGTGCTCTGTCACTCTCACAGTAAAAAAAAATTTTTGGATATTCACCTTGAACTTCCTATGCTCCAATTTACACCCATTACCCCTTGTCCTATCACTGGTCATCACCGAGAAAAGCCTAACTCCGTCCCCCTGACACTCACCAATGCAGGATCAAAATCAGTTGTTACTTTTAAAATATTACACTCCAGTTCCTTACTGTCTCCCACAGAGCTCTGAATTACTAAACCTGCAAGCATCCCCTGGAAATGAGGACAGTCTACCTGCTTGTAGCAATAAGCAACCTACTGCCAAGCCAGAAAAACCCAGCTATTAGATCAACAGCTATGAGTTTGTGGTAATGAATATCCTAAAAAAACCCCAACCCCACCGGAGAGGAATTAATTCTGTGGGGATTTCTTTTTATTATTATTGCTATATACAACAACGAGAATAAGGATATTTTTAAGGAGCCCTTGTGATCAAGCTGCGAAAAGGCGTTAGTTTGGCTGCAGATAGTGGCAAGAGCCTATCCGTGACACTTAGTGCGACACGCACCCCGAAGCTAACATGGCAACCAACTTTACTCAGATTGCCCGAGTCGGGCACAGGTATTTAACTCCTTCCAGCGGGGCCCGAGGGGCGGGCGAGGCCCGGGGGGCGGGCGGGGCGGCAGCTGAAGCGCCCCAGTCCCGCGGGCCGCGGGAGGGAGGCTCCGCAACG